TTTGAGTTTAAATTATTAATGGAGTTAGTCATAAGTGATTTATCAATTTAAATTTGTTCAAATGTTTGATTTGGAGGATTTGATGTTAGGATTTGTAATAAAGTGAAAGTTTGTGGTGGTTAATGATATTATAACTGTATAAATTTAAATATAATGCTTGGGTTATGTTTATATAGGTTAGAATTAAGATTTAATTGGTTTAGAATTTGAATTAAAGACTTAATTTACCCCTAAACTTTTTTAATACTGCCCCTTCATGAATTATTTATTGATTTAACCACCAAAAAATTGCAAAGAATAATCTAAAAAGTTATAGAAAATGAGTCAAAAATTACATAAGAGGACTTTATAAGAAAATTAATACTAATTAAGTCTTCTTAAATTGAAAATAAATTTTAATAGATTAATGTTATTTCTTATCCATATAAAATATGAAAATATTATTTTAACCAATCATTTTGATCAATTACTGGGTAATTATCAAACCACCAATGCTAGAAACATCTTATATTTGTTAACAAAATCTTGTTAAACTATTTAAATATTTTAATATATAATAAATTAGATAACAGTTCCACATAGTGAAAATTCAGATTAGTTTAGGTAAAAAGTGATAATACTTCTGATTTTTCAGGTTATCGAATAATAAAATAGGGGGGAAAAGATTTAAGATTCTGACCATTAAAAAAAATGTCTACATAGTAGAGAATGACGATAAATACATTTACCTTAATATGCTCTAAAATACTTTTACACGAATACACACATATTATTTTATTAATAAAGGAAAATATATTATATGTTTAAAGAATAAATAAAATAAAAGGTAATTAAAAATATTTTCCACACTTTAGGAGATGCAGCTTGTACGCTTAACGTACGTCAATCAGATTTTCTCTATTTATTGATTTATGTTAGACACAAAACATGGATTCTTTCACTCTCCCCATTAAAAAAAATATAAAATATTTTTCACTAAATCTCACTCTCAATAAAATAATTATTTATTTTCAAACTAACTTTATTTTTTCATCTCTCCCCCTATTTAATAGATATTTTACCTTAAAATAAATATAAATTTATTCAATATGGATACTTTAAAAAAAAGGCAAAAATTACACATTGAAAACTTTATATTTTTTAACATCCAATCTTTAAAAAAATACTTTATACTTTTAAACAGAGAGAGTGTATTTTAAGAGATCATTTGACACTTGAAATTTAAAATAGAATGAAATAAAAATGAATAAAAAGTAAACTGATACTAACAGAATATTAAAACTAATTAACCAATAGAGGTTGATCTTAATCAAAGGAGCTACGCTAGTTTTTTGCTATGTGGTGAACCAATATTTGAGTATCTATAGGGTGAGGTACCCACATTTAGCATGATCATTGTATCTCAAATAAAATTATCTCCAATAAAAATATATCTACGAGCAATCAAAAATAATACTAAAACTAATTACTAATAATGATGATAATATTATTTTAAGCTTAGGCGGATTTCATGTGCTATGTCCTATGTAAGATATATTTGTTATGAAACTAGAAAAAATATAGAAGAGATTTAAGATGAGAGAAATGAACAAAATAAGAGAGATTTTTTTGGGGGGGGGGGTAATATTCATTTATTTAGGTATCATAAGTGCATGATACATTTCTGTATTTATAGGCTTCCAATCTCATCCAAGAGTTACAATTTCATACATATGGTACAAAATGAAACTATTGGAGGTTATAGGTATAAATATTAGAATACCATCAATTTAAGATCCATAGGATATAATAACATTAACCATGAGATAAAATTCTAGAAGACTATGGAATTATTGACATCCACTCATCATAATATTTTTAACAACATTATTTTTTATAGTATGACTTAAATTTCTTGTCCTCCTTCTAGTTTTAATTTTATAATTGGTATCTTAATATTGATAGCATGAGGGAGGGATATGATTAAATTACAGCAAAGAAGAAAAAATATCCACTAACTTTTCCATTAAAGACACCTAGTATCTTTATTGTCTCATTGGGTAGTATATAGAAGAGTTTTTTATGGAAGTGAGAGTTGATATGAAAGTGGAAGTGAAAGTAAAAGTGTATATAAAAGAACAAGTGAAAGTTAGATAAAAAAGTATGTTTCATGTGCAAATGAAAGTAAAATAAAATTTTATTTAATAAGTATTTTTATATTATAAAAAGACCAAAAATACCCTTAAAATTATAAAGACCATTGAATCACACCACTAATCCGTCTAAAAAGCTAAAGAAATGAACATAAGAGTTCTCGCCGGAGTTGCTTTCCCATTGTAAAAAATACTACCAAGAAGACAAAAACCAACATTCAAGATCAAAACTACTCAAATGAAAATGCCAAAAGCATAATAGAAGCATAACCCCATTAACAAACCCTTAAGCCATTCAAAAATACAACGCCACTTGTGAGGACCAACAAGATCTGTCCAGATTCAAACACATGAATAAGCTCGAATAAACTCATATCTACAAGAAAGGAGAAAACAAGTCATCATTGATGTTGAAAACTCATATCCGCGTTGGAGCCCTAGCCGGATCCATTGAAGGGGGAGTTGGAGTTGGAGTTAGAGAAGTGGGTGTCAGAGTGAAAATCAACTTGAGAGCCAGAGTTAGTGTTGGAGTCGCCTTGGGTGTCGAAGTCGAAGTTGTCAGCGTTGGAGTCAAAAGCATAAGAGGAGGTAGAGAAGAGGGAGTCGGAGTCGATGAGTTGGAAGTTGTCCAAGTCCCAGTTTTCATCATCGGAGCTTATCACCCATCATTTTTGTGGAAGTGAGTTCCTTCAAGAATTGGGTTCTCATGTACCAAACAAGAAAACTCTATAGTTTCAATTCCACATCCATTTTTCCAGACCCAATTTCAATGTACCAAACAGGCCATAAGTGAAGAAAGGTGCATGAGTGCCCATGAAATTATTTTAGTAGATGCAAAAGTGCCTAAACTATTAAATAGTTTAGATGTTGATTGTTATGCTATCCACCTAAAAAAATGATGACCAATTTGAGCTAACATGGAGCACAATCGTCTCCCTTCTTCATCCTTCTCAATTGTGATCTGCCTTCCATTACCACCCAATCCCTCCATTTTGGTGCCTTCCTCTTCCTTTGCTAACATTTCCGATCAAGCAAAAGAAAATTTCATATTCACAATCATAATTAACATTCCCAACAAAAGAAAATTCAAATCCACATTTTAAAATAAGTAAACAAATTAAAATCAAAAATTTAAAAAAAAAAAAAAAAAGAAGCGTGAGAGAATAATGCTGTAGAGCTCTTGCAGCAGCAGAGTTAGCATTATCACAATTGGTGGTTGTGTGATTGTAGAGAGTGAGAGGAAGAGGAAGAGAAAAAAGAAGGCACAAATGTCATCCATGCAATTGCAGAGAGTGATAGGTGACAAGCATAGTTAGCCTTCAACACCAAAAATTGACAGACAAATTAGCAAATTAACAATTTGATCACTTTGCACCTACTTAATTAACTTTATGAGTATTCTCGCACTTTTCTTCACTCAATGATATTATTAGATATTCTTTGAGGAAAAGTTAGTGAATATTTTTGCCCCATTGTCCATTAAATTATTCATATATTTTGGTCCAACTCAAGAGAGAGCCAACTATATTTTGGTACATTTATTATCACTTTAATCCTCTAAATTTAATTTTTATTAATTTGATTCCTTATATTTTTAAAATTATCATATTAATTCTATAAGTTTTAATACACAAGTTGACTTTTAAATTTATCTAATGTATAAAGTATATTGATAACTTTGTGTGTGTGTGTATTACTACAATATATATTTTGTCAAATGAGAACAATTGAGTCATTAAATCAATTTACTTTTTATCAATTTATTTCTTTACATTGTGTTTTGGTCTTTTAATTTGAAAAATTGAGTTTGTTTTTTAATTAAATAATTACACCTTTTTTTATTAATGTATATTGTTATTATCAATGTTTTTATTATTCATGTCAAATTTTAATAATGTTACCTTTATTTTAAAAGTAATAATTAAAGTAAATTTAATGAATTAAATTAATAAAAAAATTAAATTTAAGAAACTAAATTCATAACTGAAACAAATAAAGGAGGATTAATATAATGTTAGGTAAAAAAAATTGACCCCTAAATTATTGATCTAAGAATGTTTGAAATCCTAAACTAATTTTTTATATAATATTCCTTTTCAACTTTTAAAAACAATACAATTTAGTTTTTATTGTTAATAAAAAAATAACTTTAATTTTTAGTTGTTCAAAAAAGACAGAAAAAAGACCTCAAAACTTATTAAAAAAGGAGGGCTGATAAAATTTCTTTGGGTTTTTTTTTTAACATTTTTGGATCTTTTATTATAATTTTTTTCTTCTTTTTTGTAATTTTCAAGGATTTTTATGTTATTTTTTGATTAATAAATGATTAAAATTAACTTTTGTTAATGGTACAAGTTTTAAAAGCCAAACATACCATTATTCCAAAAACATTGAAAATGAGTTTAAAATCCCGCCAACATGTACTTATACTTTAGGGGATAACTTGCTCTTTTATCCTGTAATATTTTGTTTGGTAAAAATTATTATTATTATTATTATTTTAAAAAAAAAGATAGTAAATGTTCCTGTAGAAGTTTAAGGATGTTTGATTACTTCGGCGAAAGGGTCATTGCTCCTTGCTCCTTCATGGAAGTTTCAATTGTGCTGGTCAAAAAACAAAAACAAAACAAAAAGTTGCATTTTCAGCTCTTTTTTTCTTTTTCTTTTTGTTTTTTTTTTTTACCAACAGTTGCATTTTCAGCTTAACAAGAACAACGACCTTGCTGGAAGTCGTTGCTGCTTTCACTTCGCCATTCGCCGAGGAAAATCCAAGTCTTCAAGGTGGTGCATTCCTTCAGGTCGATAAAAAAGGTGTGGTGTTACTTCCCCTAAATAGTCTTCCATGATTTTTGCTTTGACCAATGCTATTAACTCAACTTCTTTGAGAATTAAGGATCATTCACCCTTGAAATCTTTTTTAGATTGTATATATATTTATAGAAGAGTGATTAATTAGATCTTATCCGCAAGTCTTAGCTGATCTAGTCATGATATAGAGTATCCACAGTGAATTTCTTACTAGTGGTGATATGGTACTTTGTGGTAAGTTCATCCGAGTTAGAACTCAGGTTTGATGGGTCTCCTCTGTCTTTCTTCTGGGTTTTACTTGGAACAGAGATCAGGTGTGCAAGTTCATGCACTATATTCTTGAGTATGCAACTCAATACCCATCAGTGTGCTGTGCTCCTCGTAAATCTGAGAGTTTAGGGATTTACTTGGGAAATGAATTAGCATGGGATTGTAATTGTGAAAGGAGCTAGTCTCAAATTTCCATTTGTCTCTTTAACTTTATTGTTTTCGTGTCTATTATAGGTGCACGATGTTAAATCCTTGTGTTTGAGATTCCAATTCCCAAATTTAATTCAGTCTCCCCTTTAATTTAATTGTAGCCTGCTTGGAAAGATGTGAAGAAATCCTTTTTTTCGATTGCCAAAATTGGTGCATTATAACTGAAGGGATCTTATGTATCACTTCTTGCGACGAGTCTGTGTGTAGTAGTATGCTAAGGATTTCAATATTTTATCATGAATCCAGTTAAGGTTACAATGATTCTATTGTTATAATGATTCAAAAGCTGTTCCAATTTGTATGACTGCTACCTGTCAAAGTCTAGTCTTTGTTGTTTAGAGCTTATTGACCATCACTATCATGAAGGTTCCAGCACAAGAAGAGCATCAATTTGCCATGTAGAGAGTACAGAACAACTATCCTACTACCATTTTTTCAGCTTAAAACTGATAAAGTTGTAGAATTAAATTAAAACCAATATGAGTGTAAGTGAACTTCATGTATTGAATAAATTTGTATTATAAGCAGAATTATCAACTTAGATGTAATATTTTGCTGAAATGAAGTTTTTCTTCATGTTTGCTCTTGCTATTGATTTCAGAAGGAAACATACGAACTGGAATGGTTGAGTCAGTTGTGTCCTTTGCAGTAGAGAGGCTAGGTGATCTGCTGATTGGAGAGGTCAAATTGTTACAAGGGGTTGGCGATAATGTCAAACAGCTGCAAGTGGAACTGAGGCGGATGCAATGTTTCCTCAGAGATGCTGAGAAAAGACAACATGAAAATGAGAGTTTACGGAACTGGGTATCAGAGATAAAAAATATAGCCTATAAAGCTGAGGATGTGGTTGAAAATTATGTCCTCTATAAGCCTCTGGACAGAATGAAACATCTTCACCATGTTGGAACTGAAATTGCATCCATCAAATCTCAGATATCTGACCTCACAAGGAGCTTGCAAACTTATGGTTTGAATGCAACAGGAGACAAAGAATCAGATTTTGCTAATGAAGCTCAAAGGCAACTGAGATTCTCATATTCTCATATTGTTGAAGAGTATATTGTTGGGTTAGATGAGGACATAAACCAAGTAGTGGGATGGTTGGTGAGCAATGATAGGCATCCTCGAGTTGTGTATATATGTGGGATGGGTGGTCTTGGCAAAACGACCCTTGCAAGGAAAGTTTACCATCATGATGACATTAGGCGCCACTTTGAGGGTTTTGCCTGGTCTTACATATCTCAACAATGTAAGAAGAGAGATGTTTGGGAGGGAATTTTACTTAAATTGACTTCCCCATCCAAAGAGGAGAGGGATGAAATATTGAGCATGAGAGATGATGAATTAGCAAAAAAGTTGTATAAAGTTCAGCAGGAGAAGCAATGTTTGATAATCCTGGATGATATTTGGAGAAATGATGCATGGGACCTTCTATGCCCGGCCTTCCCATGGGAAAATACCTGCAGTAAGATTGTATTCACATCTCGAAGAAAAGACATAGCAGCACATGTGGATCCTGATGGCAAGCTTCATGAATTGGGGTGTTTAAAAGAAGAAGAAAGCTGGGCATTGTTTAAGAGGAAAGCTTTTCCCAGAAGAGATGATGCAGGTAGTTTATTAATTAATAAGCAAGCTTATTTCTCCTTCTTATGCTAGTCCAATTTATTTTAAGTATTTCATCATTTAGACTTATAAAATGTTGCAAAACATACTTTGTTGAATTTTATTCCATTTTAATTGGTCACATTAACACTACTAAAATGCATTCAGGAAATGCAATTGTGTAATTCCATGTTAAGTTGACCATTTTATATGTAAATATTAGTAAATCCCACTGAAATAGATTCTATTGAAGCTCTATAACATTGAACATTTTGGTCAGCTATCAACTTTGGTAACACCAGGTTTTTACCAGAAACAATTGACTTCTTTTAGGTGACGCAGTGTCGAAAATTATACTGTTCATGCATTAATATATTGGTTGGGTTAAATGACTTAGAGGAAAAATTGAACAACTCATATGTCATTGGCACCAAAGCTTCTAGAAACATCCTTGTAAGCTCTATTAGCAGTATATGTAACACCTAAATTTTTTAACTGTTTTAAACCGAAAATGACTATGGTAATAAAAAGATAAACCAATCAGAACAATTATCATGGATTCATGGTGCAAAAACTTTAAACCTATTTAATAAATACTTAAACATGCTAGAAAAGATTGAACCCATAAACAAAACCGCCATGGTTCAACAAAGATGAATATATAACTTTAATCAATATGAAAAACTCCCTACCATGACAGCAAAGAGGCTACCATGATAAATACATTAAAATATGATAAACACAAAATATTTTCAAATAAACTTTGAACTCTGAGGTAACCAATATCTCAAATTTCAACACAAATACTTCAAGCCCATGTCATCAAAATAATAATTCAGTCATCAAATAGTTCTCAATCAAACAATCACATGCAACAACCTATGCCGTCTGGCATCTACTACCAGCACTCTCAACAGAAAATGCTATACAACAGTCCACAATAAAATAAAGATGCAGTGGGGCCCAAACTAGCAATGTTACACAATAAACATACATGAACATACAGCTAAGGCTTTACAAACGGTTAGTCCCATGCCACAGCCTGCTTCCACTTGGCAGAGCTTGAACCCTCACTTGAAAATTGTTTAACGCAGTGTTGTCAAAGGTGCTCCTTTAAAATCCTAGCCTTTAATTTGGAAATTCATAACTATGAAAATCCTTTAAAAGTGATCTTTGTCTCCATTTGAAGCTTGGGATGTCCTTTATATGAAAATTTTTTAACTTCAAACTCTTAATCTCAAACGTTACACTTTAATTAACCTTCAAAACTGCTTGAATGCCAAATCTATAAAAGTCATATTTGTGTGTCCAAACTTACAAAATTCATCTCTCATGTTATAGGACTCCAAATGACGTTATTTCTGGCTCGTTTAAAAGCTTAGGAGACTCCTATGTCAGAAAAATATGAAACAGGATGTATATTGGTCCAACTGACACAGTTTAATCAACAAATGTAACATTGTACTGAAGTTTCTTTTTTACTGCTTACATATCCCTTCCTTATCTTGTAAAATTCATATCTAGAGTTATAGTCCATTTAGTGTGATATTGGCTGTATTGGAAAGATTTAGAAGTCCTTTAACATGAATAAATATGAAACATGTCTTTCGGTTTCCAATTAATACTAATCTTTAACACTATGGTCCCATTTGCTTACTAAAAAATGGAATAGAATGGATTGAAAAAATAAAGGTAAAAATAAGATGATCAAAGGGGATAGGTGAGCACATTCATAAGAGGGAGGGTAATTTAGTTCATGGAATTGGGCATCATGATTCATGAAATTTTTGGAGGGTGTGAGGATTCCCACATTTGTAATATATATTAGTGAGTTTTATCATACTTATCATAAGGGGAAGGGTGATTTAGTTCATTTTTGTCTTGATTTTTTCAATCCATTCCACTCCATTCTTTTCTATTCTTTTCTAGTAACCAAATGGGACCTATACTTCTGAATAGATTCATGTTCCAGTATGATTAACTTGATCTTATATGTTCATACATGACTAGCTCAAAATATGCAGACAACATTTCCCATACATCTGTAACTACTCTAGCGGCCATAGATACAGAATATAATATCATACTTACTCCTCATACATGCTTTTATACAATTTACACAACTTCATACAACTAAAGAAGCATAAAGCTATTCATTCCCTATCTCATTTCTCCACTTCTTTTCTTCCTCCATGACTTGCACTTGGATCTGTGAGTTGATTATTGATGGGGGAGTGAGATTTAAGCAATCCCAATAGCAACATATGCAAAATTCACAGCCACATAATCCATTTTCATAGACATTCATGTTCAAAAGCAAATATGGTGCGGATTTTATAGGCATAATGCAAATTATTCTTACTAGCATGTACTTTGTAAGAGCATTCAAATAATCATGGTACTGGTACTACAATTACAACACATACATAGCTTATTCAAACATCATACAGTAAGATAATTTCAAACTGTGTCAATCATACGAATTAGATTATGAACTAGAAATGGGCATAGTTGCTGCCTTATTTCTTATTCCTCTTTTTTTTTAAAGCTTTTGCTAGTGTAATGTTCATCAAATGACTTTGTCCTGTGCAGGATTTTTGTGTCTTCTTGTCCAAACAATCCTTTATCCTTGAGTTGATTTGACTTCTTGCATTCACCAATCACCACTTACCTCCTACCTTGGAGTGTTCAGCTGTAACCTCTCAATTTTATAACCAAAGCTAACTTTCACTTGATGAGAAGAGAAGATTTTGTGAATGGTGTCACATGATTGAAGTTTACTTGCTCCCTCAAGCTTTTGGTGTTCTTTCTTTACTCTTCTTTGTATCCCCACCTCCTCTATGTTTCAGACAAGCCAACGAATAACTGAAGGACGTAATTAGTTCTATACGTATTTATAAGAGCAAAGTAGATCGGTGGAAGAGATGTCAATTAGCCACCTAACCCATTATCAATTCAAGCATAGTCTAAAATGTTGACACCTATTAAAATTTCAAGCCTTGATTTGTTTTAGTGCCACATAATATATTGCTTCTCTTCTCCAATTCCCAAATTGTGACACGTAATCCATTTTTGCTAAATCAAGTTGCATAGCCGAGATGTTAAGTTAGTGGGAAAGAGAATTGAGGTGCTTGCCTCTTCCTCTTTCCTTAGATTTCGGTTCTTATTATGTATTCTTTTCCTTTCATTTGTATTTTCTCTCTCCTTTTTCCTTGATTAAACACCACATAACATTCCCTGAGCCATTCTAAATCTGGTTGGCTACCACATATAATACATTGCTTTACTAATTCATGTGCGTGACTGCAAGATACTTATTCACACACATTCTAACCACTAGCTTAATTCATAATTTGGCGCCTAATTTCGCACTAATTCTTATTTTAATGCCTTTAATTTCTCCTTTGAATTATAAGTAAAAAAGAAAAATAGGTCTCTTTAATCTTATTTCATCTTGGGTTAATTATTTTTCCTCATATAAATGCATGGTAAATTCCAATAACCATGAAATAACCCAATAAATATTAACCATATTGAATTTTCCATTTATCTTCCTAAAATATTATTTTGATGCCATGAGAATACAAATGGGACCAATTTATTATGATTAGGGTTCTCTCAATCCACCCGAAATATAGGATGTCACTTGGTTAAAACTAAATTTTTACAGTTTAGTGCCTGCTTCCTTTGACTTTCTTTTCCTCACTTTTCCTAAATTTTCAGGCATCTCTATACTTTAATGGAGTATTTGATATGTCCCCACTTACCGTAATTTATAATTCGATAAATTATATTTAATAATTGGACACAAGACATTTCTTGAAGATTCCTTAATTGTTGGAATTTCTGTCTTTTCTCTTTTACATATCATGTGTTCTTCCCAAATCTTTCTTTGCTCCTATTCAATTAGAAAAATAACCTATTAATCAAAATTCTTTCTTATGCCTCTAAGCATTTAGGTCTACCTTTCAGGACGTTACAACTAGCACCCAAAAATCGCCTCCTACCATTCTTCCTCTTCTTCCTCATGATTCTGTAGCTGTCTACACTGCAGAATCGACATTAAATGTTTCATCAAAAGTTTTAGTTGACTATCAATATTGATAGCACTAAATTTCTACTTATAACATCAACTCTCTTCAGGTGATAAAGTGTCTAAAACATTCTACTGTTTATGGATTAAAATAGTGGTTGAACTAAAGGGCTTAGAGGAAAAATTAAACAACTTTGTATGCCATTAACAAAAAGGCTCCTAGAAACATCCCTATAAGTTCTCTTAGCAACATATACGGATAAGATGTGCTTAATCTACAGGTGGACAAGTCATTTATGAAATACTGTTCTCTCATATGGTGATATCTGTAAGATTCATAAGATCCATAATATGATGTCAGATCCTTGCTTTTTTTCTTTGTTTGGTTCATTGGAGGCTAACTGGCTTATAGGATACAGAACAAGATTGTAGAAAAGTTGTCTGCATCTGAAATTGCATCTGTCATGTTTTAATGATTGACTTACGACCATCTTCTACTAAAGTATATTTGAATGATGAACGGCTGGTGGTTGTTATGATTATTCAATCTTATATCAGTTTAATGCAAGTCTCTGAATATGTAAAAGATGATGAAATGATATGAAAGCTCACTTTTCTGTAATATTATTATATGCATTTGCTTGCAAGGGAGAATTTCTGTATGTCCTATACTACTGCTGGCATTAAGTCATTTTGAGTACCTTTGTCTTATATTTGCAGAGTTCAGAATTGATAATGAATTGGAAAGATTAGGCAGAGAAATGGCTGCAAAATGTGCTGGTCTACCGTTGGCCATCATTGTACTTGGAGGTCTTTTGGCCTCAAAAGAAACATCGAGGGACTGGGAAATGGTAAATAGATTTTTAACTTCTTACCTATTAAAGGGAGAGGTACTTGAAAGCCAGTCAAGACAGTCAAGGTTAGCTGAGGTGTTGGCTCTAAGTTATGACGACTTGCCTTATCAGCTAAAACCTTGTTTCCTCTATTTAAGCCAGTTCCCTGAAGACTCTGAGATACCAACAAAAAAGTTAATTCAGTTATGGGTTGCTGAAGGTGTAGTTTCATCTCATTATGAGACTGAAAGAGAGGAGATAATGGAATCTGTTGCAGAAAAATATCTAAATAACTTGATAAGCAGGTGCATGGTTGAAGTTGGTCAGATGGGATCAAGTGGAAGGATCAAAACCTGCAGACTCCATGATTTAATGCGTGATTTGTGTTTGTCAAAAGCAAGGGAAGAGGGTTTTCTCCATATTATTGGTGGTTTGCAACAAAATGAGACTGGTGATTCTTCTTCAGCTAGTAAATCAAATGCAAAACCATCTGGTGTCGTTCGCCGACTTGCTGTCTTCTTGGATCAGCAAGTAAATCGTTTGATTCCAAGTGATCAGAAAGCAAATAAAAGCCTTCGATCTCTGCTGTATTTTCACGAAAAGAGATGTAGATTGGGTGACCAGCAGTTGCTCAGAAATGTTTTTGAGAATTACAAATTGCTAAGAGTTTTAGACCTTGAAGGAATCAAAGGAAAAGAGGGAGGTTACTTGCCAAAAGAAGTGGGGAATCTGTTGTGGTTGAAGTTTCTGAGTGTAAAGAGAACTTATCTACAAATATTGCCATCTTCCCTTGGCAATTTGGAGCATTTGCAGACTCTAAATTTGCAGACTATCACTAAGGTAACCTGGGATTCAACTGTTCAAATTCCAAACATCATATGGAAGTTGAAACGGTTGAGACATCTATATCTTCCCAATTGGTGTGGAAATATAGTTGACATCCTTCAATTGGAAGATCTAGTCAACTTGCAGACTCTAGTGAATTTCCCAGCCAATAAATGTGATGTAAAGGATTTACTGAAACTGAGCAAGCTCAGAAAATTGGTATTAAATGATCCAAGATGCTTCAAAGATTTTTGTGAAATTTTCAGTCCTCCGAGCAAGAAGTTGAACTACCTTCAATCTTTGTCCTTGAGGACAGATAAGTTTTCTTTCCCTGAGAAAGAAGTGGATCTTGAGAAACTGTTTTTAGGCTGTCCTTCTCTCCACAAACTATACATTGAAGGGCGGATAGAAAGGCTTCCGGAAATTGGTTTGTTCCCTTCACAACTTGCCAAGTTAACATTGTGGGGTTCCAGATTAGTGGATGACCCAATGGTAACATTGCAGAAACTGCCTAACTTGAAATTCTTAAGTGGATGGGAAGTGTTCATTGGAAAGAAAATGGTATGCTCACAGAATGGGTTTCCACAGCTGAAATTTCTTTTACTTCGTGGCCTGCCCAATTTAGAGGAGTGGACAATAGAGAATCATGCCTTTCCTAATCTTTTTCGATTAGCCATATATGATTGCAACAAGTTGAAAACAGTTCCTGATGGATTGAAGTTTGTTGCTGGTCTTCGTGAGATTGAGATCAGATGGATGCCTAAATCTTTCAAGAGCAGGATAGGAAGTGGTGGAGAGGATTATGGCAAAGTTGCACATGTGCCATACATCGCTTTTCTGAACTAAGCAAATAATACCAATGGTTGAATTGCCAGGTACAATTCACTTTCTTAAAATCACTCTCTTTTTATTTAGGGAGAATGACATTGAAGTCTCAAAACAATGAATTCATAACAGTTAGATTAGGTCCCTGCAATTTTTATTTATTTATTTATTTATTTTGGTAAAATCAATTGTGAATATTTATTTAGACAGTTGCAAATTCAGGAGTTTTAATTGCAAATAAGACATTTAAATTCTATATGTAATTTGCAATTGAGATTCTTGTTTGTAACTATTTAAATTAATATTTGCAACTTGTTTTTCAGAAAATTTTGTTGGGAACCTAACTGTCATAAATTCTTTATTTTTGGACTTTATTGTCATTCTCCTTTTATTTAATTGATGACATTCTAATATGTTAATTTGACAGCGCATCAGCTTCCCGTTATATTCATTCTTATTTCTTTTGTTAGCTAAGTAATTAAATCTTTCAAACCCCTCCTCCTTGGTTCAAAAGAAGGAAAAGTTACAGTGAGGAAATCTAATGTGTCCCAAGCCAGAATGACAGCAAAGAACAATAAATAAGACAGCAACAGCAATAAATATGGGAGGAAAATACTTAGGTTTTGATATTAAGGATATGAATAAACCGAATCAGATTTACAAGGAGACTCTGATTCTGGCCCAAAACCCTATTTCCTCTAAAAGATAGCAAAAACACACCAGTAACACAGATTACAAGCTTCAAGATAAGAGTCTCACTCCCACTGGCATTCGAGAGGCCAGTCTCTCCTCACAATTCCATTCTCATTCTTCCCTAGCCTTCCCTTCCTAAGCAAGAGACTACTAATACCTTCAGCCTGGGTGACACACAGTCCATACTACCCAAAAGATCCTAATCGTTACAAAAGATCACAAACTACTGTTCCTTACAGCTATGGACCGAATGATAAGCTTCTGGACCAATTCAAGTATTTCCACTAGAGTTGTTCTTCTCCTTTGACTTCCTCTGACATGTCATAGGAAAATAACGGGCCCTATCAGAATCACAAGTTAATTCCAAAAAAAGACCTTAAATTTGATCGTCCTCACAAATATCTAAACACCCAAAAAAAAAAAAATATTGCCATTTGCTCTTCCATCAGTTCCTACTCAACCTTCTGAATATTATAATTTTATCTACAAGTTAATTATAAACAATGTTTTCGAGAATTATCACTTAATTCCGGTTAATTGTAATGCACTTTTCCGATTATGATCACTTCTTTTATGACCATCTAATACCCAAAGTTGTAATGCTGGGAATGTTGGATTGTATTTTTTAATTAATAGAAGAGTAGGAAATGGAAAATGCAAAAATTCTTTTTTTTTTTACTACATTTATCATTTCTTTTGTAGAAAACACATTTCCATATATCAAATTGTAACAAGTCTTTGTAATGTATTTTGAATGTCATTGTTCCAAAAAAAAAAAAAAAATTCCAATATGCCTCGAACTTGCAGATTCATTTTCCCTTTAAATAAATTGAATGGCATCATTCTCTTACAAGTCTGTTGTTCATTTAATAATTGCAGAGTAGATTGTGAAGGTTATTTATGCCCTTTTGCGGTCAAGTCATTGAAAGCTAGAAGCAATGTACACTACCCAGGAAGCTGAGGTTGTGGACAAAAGTTTGAGTTGTACACTATCTATGTTCATCATCATCATTATCACCATCTAATCATTTAATGAATTAATTGAAGGTCAGGTTATACTATTTGGATATGTCCACCATCTATTGTCAGGTATTTTTTGTCCTGAAATTATCAGTTTTTTTTTTTTTTTTTGCCGGAATTGTATTTATCAGACATGAATATGCCATTGAATTGTTCTGATCTGTGCTTCTGAAAGGCTGATTTTTTTATTATTATCATGATAAAGTGCAAATAACTATACATTTTTATGTATTAAAATATCTTGAAGCGTACTTCAGCTGAGGATAAGGACGATAGAGGACTGAGGAGCCATCAATAATGTCTATGGCCATCCCATTCCCATGGAGATAGACATATCTATTCTTCTACTTCAAACTGCTACTTCAAATCCAAATCCATTCCAGGAGATTTATTTTGTCGGGAACACATGAAACATGATGCTTAGAAATTATTATATGCACAAACGTATCTTAATACAATCCGATGTGTTCTGTATTTATAGATTTATACCTATTTATAGCACTTTACACTTATATGCATTATTTCAATGTTTTTATTACTCACAAATATTCTCTTGTTGGATGTAATTATGTTCAAGATTCGGTAAAGTATTAAATATGATATGGATACTTTCTATTTTAGTTTTTAAGGTTATCTAATAGACATTTATGGCTATGATACTTTTTCTTTGTCCAATGTTTTTTTTTTTTTTTTGTAAGAAGAAACTAGAAAGAGCACAGGATTGTACCTTCAAAGAGCGTAGAGTTTATTTATGAGTTATTATAGATATTTTGTTGGGAAAGTGACAATTAAGGCCTGCCGATATACTATATTCTCAATCAAGTCTTAAAATGTTCAAATTACACAACAGTCCCAAGATTTTTTAGTGTAAATAAGTTTTAGTGCAAAGTTACTAAAATACCCTGTTAAAAAAATCGCCCTATCACCAAAACTGTCGCTAGTGGCCGCATTTGCTAGCGCATGTGTGAGTGTAGAATGGAATAAACAATCATTAATGCGATAAAGTAGCGTGTAATGGGACCAAGTGGAATGAAGTGGAACATTCCATTATTTAAGAATTATTATAAAATTAATATATTTAAATTAATTATAATTATATTTTTACACTTTTAGAGCGAAAAAAGGTGGAAGCGTGAGAGTAAATTATTGGAATATTTATATAATATTTATAGGTATTTATAGATTTATATTAATTAATAAGCTCAAATTATATTAATTGATTATGTGTGGATAGATGGATTACATAAATGAGTCTCTGTATATAATTTTATAACAGTTAGTTATTTCATATCTCTTAACTTATCGAATCAAAGATAATAAAAAATTAATTAATTAATTTAATTATTAATGCAATTACTGATATAATTTATATAATATAATAAGTCGATAATCAATACACATTTTTTTTTTTTCATTCTCTCCACTATCCCTACACTATTGGAAAACTACAGGAATAGTTTGTCAATCTACCAACACTTGAGTAATCGATGAGTCATACACTACGAATTCTTCTTCAAGTACCCACTTCTCATTTTAGTTAAGTTATATATATAACTTTGTAATGATGTTATTTATATCCAATCATTCTATTCTCAACTTAGGGATAAAAAAAATGGGTTGATGGTGGTTAAGGTTAGTTCGGAAGACTATCCCTGACCATTCCACTCTATTTTAAAAGCTTCTACAAACAATGGTATGAAATTTTCAGTCATTCAACTCTTTTTTTTTTTTTAGTCATTCTATTCTATTCAAAAAAATAAAAACGAAATCCCAAACACAATTCCAGTCGCGATCATTGCCAGCTGACGTAGATGACTAGAGCTCCGGCGTCAAATAGCCATTCGTTGAATCTTAATTAATTATCCAGAGCTCTGGCGTCAAATGGCATACGTTGACTAGAACTAGGCTTTATTATCAATCTTATACTGAAATATCATCCCCTTCTGCTTCCGTTTATTCCTGCAACATCAATGCATTGCTATCTAGTTTGTTCTGTACTATGATTTCCAAAATCCAGGATATTATTATTGTCAACTTCATGCTATGAAAAAGGATAAAAAAAAAAAATGTTAGAAATAAGTGCAAGAGACACATGATCTATGCGTCACATGTCCTCTATGATCTCATTCCGTTTAATTCCTTCGTTAAATTTTCTTTCACTGATTATAGATTCTGCAAATGGGTCTGATTGGATGGATCCAAGAAACTGACCAAATATATGGCAGCTCTTATAATGAGGAGAAGTATGCAGCTATATATAAAAACGAAATATTAGAGAGAGAGAAAAAATGTTGTAGCTTCTGGAGTTTTCTTCTTCGTGTTCTCTTTCTGCCATGAGTTCTCCCTTAAATTCAAAGCTTGTGATTGCTCCTAGTTTCACGTTCTCTGCTGCTCCGATTCAAAAGGAATCATTAAACCCTCCAGCATCCTTAGAAGAGGAAGACCTACTGTACAGAAATACTGAGAAGTTAGATGAAGAAATGATTGACAAAGGGCAAGCCACATCACAGCCAACTTCTCATCAGACTCAGCAAAATACAGCGAGCTTAACAGGGAATCAAATCACTGATAGTTCTAAAGAAAACAATGCACCAGCAAGCATGGCAAACATGGCCAATATTTTCAAAGAAATCCATGCCTGCAAAGCTCCAATTTCATAAAAAGAATCTCTAACAGGCTACAATGGGTGCTATGGAATCAAGGAGGCTAGTGATTCACGATATATAAATGATGCTCTTGCTAAAGAATTGGATGAAGATTGGACCCCATCAGAAACAACCAAAAAGCTCATGAATCAGTACCTGATGGTTCCAATCTCTAACGATGAATGGAAGAATCTCTTCCTACCTTGGATGGATGCGTTGGTCATAAACACTCTCGGTATACAGATCAACCCAAAATCACTCAAACCAAGATTAGCAAAAATGTGGTGCATTAAAGACTTGGAGTTGATTGACTTAGTGAACAACTACTATTTTGTCAGAACAAAGAATCCATAAGCTTATGAGCATATACTGGATGGAGGATCATGGACAATATTTGATCATTGTATACTGGTTCAACATTGGTCTCCTAATTTCAATCCCAATACGAACATCCTCAGTAAAGTCTCTGTCACGCCCCAAAATTTGGGGAGCGACTAGCAGGAAGTGTGAACCATTTCACATTGTAAGTCTTAAATCGTAAATTAACTCTATTTCTAAAATTAAATTAAATTTGTATTGAAATTATAACACTTTTGACACTAATAATTATAACAATTTCAACATGTTCATAAAAATTTCGGCAAAACCCCCTGTAAATAAAATCTCTCAAAATTTCTTCAATACATTGATGCAAGCAAAATATCAAATAAATCAGGAGCTTAGCTCCTTTGAGCCGACAGACAGCATATATATAAAAATAAAAGTCCTAGTTATAGCTTATGTGGAGCACCTATTCATATTTTTTAAAAAATAAAATAAAAATAAGATATATAAACATTTATAATTACATCAAAAGAAAAATTTCAATCAACCCTCCACTTGTCTATAAGTACTCACGGATCGGCAAGAAGATCAACGTCAGCTAAGGTATCTAAGACCAAAATAAGCTTTCAATGAATAACATCCCAACAATAAACAATAGAACATAAAATAACATGAAAAGTTTAAAATAATTATGTAAGTTAAATAGACAAAATTTTCATAAAAATTTAATAAACTTCATAATAAAGTGGCTTTATAAATTTCAAATAAAATCTTAAATCATTGAACTATCATAGCAAATGATAATATCACTTGATTTCAAGAAAGCATATAAATAAAATAAATATTTATAAATAAATTTCTAAATAAAAAACAATAGAATATGAAATCATCAAGCGATTGGATTCATAATTATAGGGACTTATTAGAACAATTAACAAACGTGTTCACAATCCATGAGGGTAACTAACCAAATGCAGCTTATGCCACGAAAACAAACGTGGACACACAGTCCACGAGGATAAGTAATCAAATGCGGCCGAAACCACGAAACAAACATGAACATACAGTTCATGAGAGTAATGCTAATCAAACACGGCTTAAAGCCACACAAAAAAATGTGAGTATGATGCTCACGAATAACCATCCCTCCGTTCCACGTGCGTTGGCCATCGCACGGGGCTAGCACTTCCTATAAACACCCTGCTAGCTAGGTGTACCATGGCACGTCAAGAGTTAACAGAACTGTCGTTAGCAACTAGTGTTTTGTATAAAGTCTCTTTTTAAAACCATTTTCAAACATGTGCGAAAATTATCACTTTCAAGATACAGTTCTCATTCTCAAAATCAAACTCGCATGAAGAATTTCGAACATTAAAAACTTGCCAGAATGAAACTTCATAAATGATGCCCATGCTTGCATTTATTGAGAAACCAAAATTACCAAAGCTAATAAAAATAATTTCATCAATCTTGAAAGTATCCTTTGTAAAGAAAAAAAACACATACACGTCATAATTCAAATATCCTCTCACATCCCTTTATAATTTTTCAAGATAAAAATAATCTAATTAACAAAGTATCCACTATTCAACATAATTATTATTAAAATAATCAAGGTAACAAATAAATTTTAATAAGAAATTTATTGATAAATTGGTTGAGATGCTATCCACTTACCTGAGAGTTTCTCAATAATCTTATAATTAGATTCCCTCAATTTCCCACTTACTCCAGTGATACTCCAAATTAATCTAGCATTTAAACCAACTACATTCAACCCTAACCATTAACACTCTTCTTATTCCATGGTTAATAAAAACCTCAGTCATCACATAACCTAACAATTTCCCTCTTTTGTGCTATGCAAATCCAACAAGTAAATCAACTTTACAACTTGTATGTAAAGACATATATTTTCTTAAGTAGCATAAATTTCTTTAGGCTCTAATATGAAAATTAAACAATTTTATTTCCACTAATTTTTTTCCAAGCATTTTCACCAATACATTGAGTGTCTCACCATAAGCTAAAGCATGAAATCAACATTCAAAACTTCAAACAACTTCAAATATTTAATTCTACAACTAAAATTCAGCTCAATATCAAAATAAATTGGCATCCATCATTAACCAAACAACACCTCAGTTTTCTCAAAGTCAAGACAACAATAATGAGCGGAGATGCCTCTTTTGGCCAGGGGAGGAAGAAGAAAGGATCAGCAACTAACCACAAACCAAAATACAATAGCTTCAACCACACCTAAGCTCACAGATGATGCCAAAGGAGAGAAGAAAAGCTTCATCTCTGCTGTTCAAATGAGAAGAAGGAGTAGAAAATTAAGGACCCTAAAAAAGAAAGACTTAAGTTCACCATACACACACTACCATCGTTAGCCCAGAATAGAAACAAACAGAAAACGATCACCCCAACTCTTCCAACAATAGAGATGCAACAGTAAGGATCAACGCAGACCAACAGTGAGCAACAGAATTGTAGACTAGAAAAAAAAACTTGAGCTT